CGTCTTCATTGCATGGATCTCTGATTACATCACAGACTTCCACCTGGGTGTGCACACTTGAGGAAAGAATTTTTTGATGTAAGCACATGGAAGTTTTGCTACAAAATCCTACTGGCACAGTATTTTAAGATTTGTATTGATCTTTAAACCAGTAAATTCTTCTCATACAGATTAGCTTTTTCTTACCAAGTTTATCATCATGCACAGATAATAACCAGAAGCAAATCTGGAAAGCTGTAATATGCCTTTACACTAGCTTTCATTTGTGCTTTTAAAAATTGGAACAATTGCATGGTTTGGTTGGTTGGTTTGGTTGGGGGCTTTTGTGTTTATTTTTCCTTGCATTAGCAAAGGAGAACTAAAAATTGAGTTAAAGAGGGGAGAGAAATTGTATAGTTACCTATGTTCTCAACAGATGCTGTAGTCAAATCGTGTTCAGGAACTCCACTAAGACTACCCATCACCCTTCAGCTAAATTCCAGTCTAATTTTCCTAGACTGATCCATATGATGTGAAATAAAAATTTAAAAGAAAATACAGCAGATTTATCAATGCTAAAAATCTGAGGCCTTTTCAAGGGTCTCTGAAAATGCCAGGAGTTTAGAAAACTTAAGTTACCTGAGCACTGGGAATCTAAGATCCAGAGCTTTTGATCAGATACCCATACAAAAGCAGGTCTGTATAAGCATCCTATCCACTGTTTTTCACCCTCAGTGAGCTGCATATTCCCATTAGTAATGAAAAAAAACTATTTATTACATTTTCAGTGTTTAACTTGTCAGTTGTACCACACACTGATCAAACCAAAAGCATGTTAATTTCTTTTAAACATCACTTTTAAACATCATAGCCTAAATAGGGTACAGGAGGACCATATATACAGAAAATAAGCTAGATGACAATGCAAGACAAGAAAAATTTACATCAGCTTCCACTCTAAGGAAAGATATTAGAAAAAAAAAAGTCATTGTCCTATCTGCAAAGCCAGAGAAAAACCCTTAATTACATTAAGCTGTTCTGTAACATTATTACATTTCCTAACAGCTTTCAAAAATTGCAAAACTAAATGTTTAAATACTACTAACAAGTATTTCTGTATGCACCAATAGCTTGATTTCCAGTGGATTATGTCAAGTCCAACTGACTTTGCATCCAAATGATTCTATTATGAATTATGCTTAAGCAGTAGAATATGTAGAGAAACTTAAGAGTATCAGAGACTTCACACTGATCATGGGAAGGAGAGTTACCTACATTCAGACAGACAATATGAAACCTTTAACTGTGAAAAATGTCATCAGCAGAACTCTAGCATCAGAGTACCACTGGTTTTTATCTCCCACGTGGACTTTTGATGGCTATGAGACACACAAGCTTCATCTGAATCTGTTTGCATGTAAGAGCAATGTCTTTTGACTGTGTAGTTCCTGCTGATTAAAAAGACATCATACATTTTTTACTTCTAAAAAAGAACAATAACAGGCTTGGAAGGACATGAAACTGGGTGGACAGACTTGTAGCATTCAGTGGTCACCCATCTAGAAAATCTGGTTGCAGAAAACAAACTCAGAAGTTACTGGAGAGAGGATGGACTTCTAGATATGTATACTCAGTTACACAACATTTTCTTAGAATGGTTTAAAGGTGTGGGGGAACAGGGGTCTGAAAACCTTCACTGCTCAACCTCTGAATCAACATTTCTAGAGTATAGACAATATACATACATATGCAATGTGGAAACCTGTCATTTTGTATCAGTGATTTTGATATCAGTATCATAGAAATGATTTTGATTTCATTCCAAGAAACTATTCTGGGAAGAATTACTAGAACCACCAGCAAATTGAACCACTGCAGCTCCTGCTCAGTTTGTGCTGCCTCAGTGTTTGCATGTTCCAGGAGCTATATTTATATGATCAAATCTCGGAAAGTTACTTCTATTTGTTTCTTGTTTATATGATTCCAAGTTTCTTCACAAATGGGCCCAATGATATATCAAATCCTTTCGAGATCCTAGCAACAACTGACTGACACCAAGGCATCTAGACAGAATTTTGCAATCTGTTAATGCTATTCCTGAGGTTTATTCACTTTTTGACTTCACAGCTGCAGTCATTAGAACAGGCCAGACTTAACTATGAGCACATTTTGAAAGGTAGAACTGGATTTTCCTAATCTGTCTACCTAAAATGAACCATCACAAAAAGGGACGCTTTCCAAAATTTCAGCCTCGATTAACAAAGCATTAATTTAACAGTCAGGTTGATACAAACTGAGCTAAATCAGAAATGCACTACTGGATCTTTCAAAAGTTATTATGGAATTCTCCAGTTTTATATACTATTTTCAGCATGATAAACACATTTTCAAACACATCTATGTGAATATAAAAATAGTGAAAGGCAATTTTCTTCTTTCTTTTAATCCACCAGATATTATTACCATGACAAGAAACACCAAGAACCAAGAGAAGTGCCTTGGAAACCAACAGGGAAATAGAACTTACTACCTTTTAGCAAATTCCATTGTGAACAAGAGATTTATTTTTGCAGATTGACAGACTACTTCCCATAATTCTTTTAACATGCATTTTGTATGCCATCAAGTTTGCAGATTGACATTCTTTACAGTAGCATAACTGCCAGTAGTACTTAATGCTCCATACTTTAAAACACACTTTACAATTGATGTGTAATGCTGCCAAAAATTATGTAAACACAAATATTTCACCAAGAAAATTGATGTTCTGTTGCTTAATTCTAAAATTTTAAGGAATGTTTGTTTGTATATCTAGAACTACTAAAGATCTGCTCCACGGTAGTTGTGGTCACTTGACACCCTTCATGCTTATACAATTTTTTTAAAAGTTTGGTTAAAACAGACTTGCATTAGGGTCACATTGTACCCTGGGAGTACAAACTGCATGACAAACAGGAACGTAATTCCAAGTAGACATACTTTTTGGGACAGTGGAGCATGGATTTTGTACACAAACACAAGCTGCCGTTAATTTACTTTATATAATAAATGTATAAAACATTCCAGCAAACGTGCAATATGTAAATACTGTAAATAACAAGCGTAAGTAATAAAGTGTTTGGTATTAAGTTGTTCTCAATTTGCTTTCTGTTCATTGAATCCAGGTAAACAAGCTACCCTCTGGTAGCTGCTGTCATTTATCCACACTTAAACCTCTTTCCAATAAGAGCTCACTAGTGTAAGAAGGAAAGTTATATCCACCTTAGAGAAGTTCAGTAATCTGGACACTCTCTGTGTGTCTTCCAATCCCACAAAATGCCCATAAGGCTGCTTCAATTCTCTCCAGCATTATAAGATGGAATATTTTTTATGAATAACAGTTGTTTTAGGATTTTTTGTTTGTTTGGGGTTTGGTTTTGGGGGGCCTTTTTGTTCATGTTTGGTTTGGGGGTTTTGTTTGTTTTTGTGGGTTTTGTTATTGTTGTTGGGGTTTTTTTAATAATCTGCAGTCTATTCATGATACTGCAAGGCAATATAATCAGCAAATGTCCAGTAAATCATTTTACTATTGCAGAATTTTTAAGGAGTCAGTGAACACTTAGTTGAGAAGCCCTGATACACATTTCCCTTTCTTCCTTAAATCAGATATTAAAGTCAGTTGACAAAATAAAATGGCTCAAACGGGAAGAAATTTTTTATGTGCAATCTGTAGATAAACCACATGTACTTTTAACTTATACTGGCATTTAGTTTTCTTTCTATCCTCAATTTGAACCACAAAATGTAAAACCAAAACTAACATCCCTCCCCACCCTGAAAACTCTAGGAGCTGAGATTCTTGAAATGGACACTTAAGAGCCTTCAGCATCCAGCTCTTTAGAAGAAAAAATGGCAGAAGTACAAAATCCCATGCAAGAATGTGGCTGTGTTTAGCAGGAGAGAATTACGAATTTTTATGTGCTTTCAGTGAACACTAAATGTTAAAGTTTCATCTCTCAATGGATGCAATATATGGCTACAGGAAACATGGTAGTTTAAGGATTCTACTTCTACAGGATACACTCAGCTGCTCACCTGCAGTAAACATGTCGGTGGAACTCTGTGTTTCACTGTGGTTCCACTGAACAAACAGCACTGTGCAACTGCCTCTCCTGAAGGCAATTCCAGTTCTCTGTTCTTGGTTTCACCGTAATACCATGGTGATCTCCTTCCCCTCTTCCAGAAAAAAAAACCTACTAATGATAAAAATCAATCTAACACCTTACTCCTCCTAGTAGAGTTAATGAATCATTTAGCCAACAGATTACTTGCTGAATTTGTATATCAAGGCTGAAACTTTTAAATCTGAACTGAATTTAACACAAATAGCTTGTATCACTTTACAGGAAGATTGCTAAGCCTAGTAAAGGTAAACAACCATATCCTTTTATGTCCTTTCTGTTACTCCAGCAGCTCAAAGATAAAGATTTAAGACCTTTAAATCTTAGCTTTAATATGTAGGAAACTGTTGAATTCCTACATAGCCATGAATGGGAAAGTACAAGTCATCATGTTCTAAATCTTGTGAGTTATTTTAATTTCACTGGAATCTTTGAAATGGTCATTCAGGCAGAGAATAACATTAGATTACGCCTAAACACTTCCACCTTTGAGGTAAATGCATAAAACCACATTTAAGAGGGTTTGTCCCTAACTGCCCATCATTTTTCCCCATTTACTTTGTAAAGCATGCATAAAAGCAAAGGACAATAATTTTTTCAGAGTCAGTGCTTAGTCAGACCTGAAATATTGTATTATTCTTTGTCCCTGAAGTGAAACAGCTATTAACTTGCACATTTCTAGCTTGTTTCTTAGAAGTCAAAACTACTGGTAATGCAATAATGCACAAAGATTCTGATTTCTGTGTTTAAGCGTTCCATGTACCACCTGCCTTTTTGTAAGCAGGTTCTTAAGTTATAGGTCTGACTGAAATTTTAGCACAAAACAGAAACCTCCCTAACACAAAATAGCTGTTCTACAGCAAAAGTCCCAAGGAATTTAATTCCTATCATGAAGGCTTCAACACACACAGTGACACCAGGATTCCAACCTCCCCAGGAGTAACAGTATCCTCTAATGAAATACATCTCTCCCTCAGAAGATAAAGCAGGTGACAAATACAGAGACTACTACTTTGGAAGGCAGGAAGAGACACAAAAAAAAGGCTAAATAAATATGAAACCAAATTTTATAGATCCAGTTTTACAGATAGTGTGGTAATGCTAGTCCATACCAATGCTGATACTAGTCAAAATAGGAAAAATCATCATGGTACCAGTTACATTACTGATCTCAGTGCATTTACATTTCTAAGGCAGACAAGAAAGGTGATGTTCAGACAAGCAGGTACAGATTTTTACAAAGCATTTTGTCCAAGAGCAGAATTATCTACTTACTGGCCTTTGGTTAACTTTGTACTGTATTACAGATGAACTCTGTTTGGGTTGAAATATGCTCTCAGAGAACACTTCTGACAGGCTGACCATTCTCCTGAGTAAATCTGTAAATACTGTCTAACACTCATGTAGGAACTGGAATTATAGCAAATTTCTCACCTATTATATTGCATGGATTTGAGCATTTTACTACTATAAGACACAAAATGTGATTTCACATTGCAACTTTTAAGCTGATATGTTTTGTCATCAAAGTAAATGCTATGTTTCATGTACTTGTGTCAATGTGCTACAAATCGCCCAGAAGACCAAAGGAAGACTAGAAGTCCTAATCAATTTCTGAACTTTGTTCATCTTCAATAGTATAAAAGTGTACTGGAGCAAAAATTATTTCTTCTTTGAATAACTAAGGATTTAAACTGACAGAAAAAGCTATTTTCACTGGATCCTGATGACACAAGGAGCTTTTGCTTGCTTAAACTTTCAAATAGTGCTAAGAGCAATGTCTGTCAGGCAGCAGTTCTTTGAGTCTAGAAGGCTTCCTGTGAAACACCTTCCATTCAAAGGCTGCCTCATGATACTGACACATCCAAGTTACGCATCAACCATTATCTCACAGGTTCCCACTGAAAGTTGACTGAAATTAACTCACTAAGGACACGATGACAAGACCTCAGTTTAGTTAATACAGCACATAAAGAAGCAAGATGTTACTTTTGCAGTGCTTGTGAGAAAGCACTGGAAGAGTTTACAGATAAATTAATCCTGAATTATATACTTTATTACTACACTGATGAGTGACGAAATGGTTGATCATGTAATCCAATTAAAACCTTTCTATATTTTTTCATTAGATGACAGAAAAGCTAAAATACAAAATTCAACTGAATAAGTACTGAACACAGAGGCATAATTTTACAATTTAAATGCATCAATCAAGTAAACTTTACGTATTTCAGGAAAAGCTAATTATTTTCTTTTAGAAATTAAATGATGAAGCATTAATGAGGTTTCTCCAAAAATGCTTTACAACATCTAAGACACTGCTCGTAAACAGTTTCAAAGTCCTTTTCATTCCCCTAGAAAAGAAGAGAGGAAAAAAACCGTAAGAATAACAATACTAACTAAAAAAAAATAAAAATTGCATATTGGTTTCTCCATTGTCATTAATGCCAAATAACAGACACGAGGAAAGAATAAAAATGGTGCAAATACATGGTGATAGTTTTTGCATATTTCTCTCTAATTTGAACTCAAGAATTTCCACGGACAAACACTGTGACTTTGTATTCAACAGTCCTGGATGACTTTCCTTCACATATTTTCTTCACACACTTTTTTCCATTCACTTTTTTAGCCCTTATAATTTTTTTCCTTTTTTCTTTACATTCACACTAACCCGTCTTGTTGAGTTTCACAGTTTAATGAAGCACTGTGCAGAAAAAAAAACCGAAACAAAACTCTTTTTGTTTCGAATCTGCTTCCCCCATTAAAACCATTTCATATTCTCTACTTCCTGGGTAATGAAGAGCAATTCCTTATTCAGCTTTTCCCATTATATCAAGATTTTACAGAACCCTACTGCATCTTCATCCACTTCTGTTTGCTAAACTGAAGAATATTAATCTAATTGTTTGCTCTTGGCTCGTATTATTCAACTTCTTTGACTACCTGTGTCCATGCCTTTGTCTCTATCTTTCCTCATTACATCCTCTGCAAGGAGGCTGATCAATCAGGGCTTCACCCAATATTGAAAATATAGGTGCACTGCATTTAAATGTAAATAAATGCAAGCATAAAGACACGTTATCCTTTCCTAATCCAGTAATTTATATTGTTTTCTTGTCATAAAAAAAAAAATGTTTACACTTGGCTTTGTATAACTACATTATATGTCACATGCCAACTGTGGGATCTGGAAAGATTATATACAACACATACACAATTTTTAATCAAGCCACCCAAAGAATTTCTTACACATACATAGTACGGATCTTCAATAATAAGCTGTTTCTGTGGATCATAACTTCCAAGTAGCTCAATTTTGGCCTTGCAGTCTTTAACTTGGTTGCTTTTCCTGTTCAGATCTCTGTAAAAGAGAACATAAAATTTTCCCCTGAATTTTTCACCAGAATTTTGGCATCAACACAAGATGTTCATGACCGTTTCTAGACAACACAGGAAAATAACTCACGTCTGGACTCAGTCCTGTGGACCCTATGCTGCTGCTTGGTTTTGTTTCTTTCCTGTTGTGTGGGGTCTTGTTTAATTGAGTATGGAAGACATACACATAAACTTAATTCAGAGCATAAACAGTCAGGCACTCAACCTATAGCTTAACAAAACTTTGTAACAGTAAGTTCAGTAACTTCTTCCTCAAATCAATCATTAGTACTTTCAATATCTACCCTTAGCTTGTGTTGAACAAAAAACAATGGAAATTATCCAGATATTTCTCCAGAAGTATAAGTAAGCATCTCCTACCTGTTCAAAGCCAGATTTAATTGGTATACTGCAAGTTCTATCAATACTACCTCTAATTCATGTAAAGTCCTACTACAGTCAGTTAACAGAAAACAGTAAATGAGTGATCTACATGTGTTTTCCTTTTGATATACTGTAACATTTTATCAGTTGTCACATCCTCTTCCTTCTACATCACCTCTCATTGATAAAACATTCTGGTTTTGAGATGGCATTTTCCCCATCTACTTACAAATGGCCATCCATGATCCCAAAGGCGGTTAAAATGCACTTCTCATCATCTCCAGAGTAAAGGCAGCTCAGTACTATGATTTTCACAATGAACTGCCAGAACATACTAAATTCTTTTAATATTACACATTTCCATACCAAATCATCATTTTACTTACCATTAAAAAAGGCAAAAAAGCCCCTGTGAATACTTAGTCATAAGCATATCTGTGTTCAGAAATTAAATTCTAATTACTCATTCTGATAAATTAATTTCAAATAGTGTAGAAATAGCAATAAGACCACAATACTGGTTTTGCTTGAAGAAAAATCAGGGCTCCTCTTTCAACCAAGAAGGTATTGCTTGAATTTACAGATTTTCAATAAATTCTCTAGCTTTTTATTATTGGAAAAAACATCAAACCAATTTCTTAAAGGCTTCTGGCAGACCACTTAGTGAACAGGAGAGGGCCAAATAGCTCCGGTACTAAAGAAAAGGGATGTCCCACATCTTCCTTTTCTGACATGAGAGGCATTCCATCAACACCTGGAATCAGCTTGCCCTCCCAGTGCCACAAATAGGCGTCCCAGGCGAAATGGTTGAACTCAGAGCAAGTTTAAGGTGAAACTGTAGCGCAGCAGTAGCAATATCCCAGTTGTAGTTCTGACATTTTTTCTGCTCTATAGTTCATATCGTATAAATTGTTAATTGAAATTTCTGTTTAAGAATTCAAGTGAAAATAGAAGTAAGCCTAGTCACGTCATTGCCTGAGACACTGCAATCAAGCCAAGTGTTATATGCCCTTTGTTCATGCAGACTCTGGAAGAGAGGTCATTCAGCATACTCTAGAAAATTCAACAAAATCATACTTATTTCAGTTAAGGGGTGCTGCTTCTAGAAGTCTTTATGTGCTACTAACAGGGTTTCATTTGGGTTTTGTTTTGTTGTTGGTTGTGGTGGTTCGGGCTTTTTTAAACTAACTTTACAATAGCCCTTACAAGCACTTTGAAAGCGCAGCTCCTTAATACTCAATATGTATATACTTGAGTAGAAATTTTGCTAGTGATACCCAAATTTTTACACTAGGTAGCTACTTCACCAAATCTTTCCAAAGAGCACTTAATTAGAAAACAGCTAACAATAAAACAAGATTTCCCCCAGCTAACAACTCTGCTTATTTCAGAGCTCATTCTATTTCTATAAAAAAAGTAAAAAAAAGTTACCATATTTAATCCTTCCCAAGTTGCCACAGTTTGTCTTTTAAGTACCATGCAATGAGAAAAACAGATCACTTCAAGCAAGACAGTAAGTACACCCTCATTCTTAACTATACAGGCATCAGCTGCATATAGCACAAAGTACCTAAATTTCCATCCTTAATCCTTGAGTGGCACATATCACACAAATAAACCATTGACTTCTAGCTCATTAAACTTATTAGAAGTGAAGAATCTATCCTAATAGGATATATTTCACATACACGTTTAAAAAAAACAACAACAAAACAAAAGAACACCAAGACAAGCTAAGCAGTAAAATGTGACATCTGTCTTCAAAGTGACTTATGAGACATCACTATAAGTAATCCACATGAATTTGTTCAATTTCTTCATACCTTACCTTAGATTGTTCTCATCCATGCAAAGTATATAATCAAAGGTCTGGAAATCCTCTTTAGTAACCTAGAATTAAAAATAGATGCTTTAGCCTACAAGCTGCATTTGATTTATAAGAAGAGGAAAAAAATTCTGTATTTCTGATTTACTAAAAAAGACACAGGTGGAAAGAATAAAACTGCATCTTCATAAATTTTTACAATAATTTGTGGCATTTTAAATATACTTTACCATGATTATTTATCCATTTCTGCAAGTATTCCATAAAAAACTCCGAGTCAGCTATTCAACCAATCCTTCCTCTTTTTTTTTTCTTTATTTTTTTAAATTTCATGCAGCAACTCAGGCATCATTACAAGTGACATTTCTAGTACTTTTCAACTACTAAAACTAAAGCAGATTTCCAACTGTGGAAACTACGCAATAAAAATGGTTAAAAATAAAATAGAAAAATTACTTTCTGGATAGAACAACAAAAATGTAGGTAACCTGGAATCACTTGCAATACTTCCAGTCTAGAAATTTGCCACTGCACAGGAAAAGTTACCAAGTGAAATTCAAAGCTGAAGTATGATGGTATGAGTTACAATCTCTTAAAAACAAATGCATCCACAATATTTTAGGTCATGTAAATTCACAAAATTTATAGTATGATGTGAAAAAATCTATTGTAATCTTTCTACCATAATACAATCTGTTCTTTTTCTTTCTTGTAGTTTACTGACCCCTAAACATGAATATTAACTACATTCAGAGATCTGAGTTCAGAGGCAGATAGGCAAACATGGCAGATAAACCACTAACTTAAGTACTAATGTCATCTCTACTGTTATAAAGACAGCTGCAGATATTTACCTGTCATTGTATTTCAGTTTACATTTAAGCCTTAGCTTAGGCTAAAATGTTCCCAGCCCATGCCCACAATGCTAGTAAAAAGGGTTTCTGAACCAAATGTCCATAATGAGGATGAATAAAAGGAATAAAATCTATAATGAGTTCACATTAAGACTGCATTTCACACTGTGTCCTATGTGTCCTGTGTGAAGTATCATAACCAATAAACTTGGAAAGTTTGTTCAGAACAGGTTTTTCTGGCAGGCATCTCGGGGAAGGATGGGCTAGAGAGGTGAGTAAGCAAGTAAACAGACAAAAAGACAAAACACCATACTGTAAATCAGAGGTTTAACTTGTAAAACTTACTTACATACTAAAAGAAGATTTAGATGGCAAAACATCCATTTTGTGCAAACAGTAAATAGATACTGATTAAGCTCCCATAACAGGGAGTAAGAAAAGACAGACAGAAATTATCACCAGAATAAAGCCATAAATGAAACATTCCACACAAAGAGAATTGAAGGGGTGAGGTGCGTCGGGAAAGTATGAGAAAAGAAAGGGTTAATGGTGAAAACTAACACAGACTTGTTTATTTTCACTGTAAAAATATTTGCTGTATTCATGCAGTGCCTTTGACCTATGAAAATATTTTTGCAGTGGAAATAGCTCTGTTTTCCTGGCAAATCTAAGCAGTACCTCTACAAGCTGCTTCTGATTGCTCTACACAGCTAAATACAGGCCTCTATGAAAATATGAGGGCACAGATTTCTTTGTTGTACAGACACATGTAAGAAGAAAAATTAAGAAAAAAAGGAAAAACACACCTGCCACACTTCCCACTTGACAATGTTACAGTTATTACCCCATGACCAGTACTAACACAGATGCAAATGCAGCCCTAAAACCAAGATTACCATTTGGCTTGTGCTCTTAAGCCCTACAGCAGTATCAGATACAAAAAGCCTAATTGAGCAAACTCCAGGGAACTGAAGATATTCCTCAAAACTATGAAAACTAGTATTTTGGGGGAATTGAGGACATAAAAATTTATGTGCATTTTGAGAAGAGTAGTGTGGGTTCAAGTTCAACTTTGGATGGAACCACGCAGACAATAACCTTACATTAAAAAATGCATATAACCATTATTAATTTATTTGTTAAACGTTTCCCTTTATTTACAGAAGGAAAATCTCATTTTCTCTGTCTAAAACTCCAAGAGAAGCAATAATCCTCAAATTTATCCAGTTGTGAAACAGTGTTTAATACAACCTGCTTCTAATCTCAATTTCATATTTAAGGCAAATGCACGGTATGAGTCATACCAAAATCAATTTTGGCCTCAGCATGAATAAAAGCGAAACTGATTAAAACTTATCTGGTTTGTGCATGAAGACTAAGAGCTTAGAGAACTGCAATGGGTACATAAACACACAGCAGCCCGCCATCAACTAAAATGTTAACAACTTTATTTTATATATACATTTATTTTTATACTTCACCTTTCACTTAAAAGATCACTGTATATGATGGTAGGATGCAACCAACTTAACATTCCCTTTTACATAAATCATTCTTGTAGTTTTGAATTAAAAAAAGGTAAAATCCATGATTATCATAATTATGCACAAAATTACACGAAAGAAAGTGCCTTTCACTGGGTGGGTACCAGTATCCACAGGAGTGAAGAGGATAATTGTATGAGGTACTTATCTTAAGACTATTTTGAAGGCAACAAAGATAAATCCCTGCTCTCTATTTCTGCAGCTTCTGTATTAAATTTTCCTTAATCTGTTCTGAAACAAGTCTCACACAAAATTCTATCCTTGAGTTTGTCTCTAAAGTAAAACAAACACACTTCCACTTGTATTTATCTGAGCATTCTGAAAAGTCCTATTTTACACTCTTGAGTCCTTCTCTTTTCAGAAGTACGACAAGACCATAACAGGTCTGCAGTTTAGAGAATCAATAGAGACCATTTGACAGAAGTTTGGAAAAAAAAGTAAACTGGAGTTACATAGTTAACATCAGAGCAAAACGAACAGTTACCTGTAGCTCAGGGATTTGAAGATTTTCTTTAAATTTATAAAAGAAACTGCTTGTACTGGAATGTTTTAGACAAATTTTCATCCTGTTAGTCTTTCATTTTATTGTCTCATTCTTGTTAATTTTCTCTCCCTGTATATGTAACATTTTAGGGTCTTCTGCTTTAAAAATTTCCAGAATGTATAAGCAAATGTCTTCATTGAAGTGTTTTCATTCCCTCTCTGCCAAAGGAGGATATATAGATTCATTTCAAGGCAGAGGATCAACTCATTTTGGGTCCTTTGCTTTAGTTTAACTGCTCACAAACTACTCTAGGAATACCCAAGAACAGTTCTTAAGTTTCCGAGGCATGTCTTCTAAGAAGACAAACATGTTACATTGCTGTGACCGAAACACTGGCTGAAAAGTTTCAGTACCATTTAGCTTGTATATTGACAAATAATGATGTTTGTAAGCACTGATAAACAGTCAATCCAGAACTTGTAACAGGAAAAGATTATAACAGACTTTTTTTAGTAATTATTCTAATAGTAAAATATTGAAAAATCTAAAATGGTGCTGTGCTTAATTCTGTTTATTATATAAATGGAGATTAACATCAGGAGAGGTCAGTAGAGGGCAACTGACTAATTGAGAGAATTTATTTTAAAAAGTCAAAAAACTAAACATGTGGTCTTTGAAAGTGAAGAAAGTAAATATGACCTCAGTACGGTCTAGTAAAATTCTGAAGGGAACAGAAATGTAAGATAATACCAAGACTACTTGATCTTTTTGTCAGTACAACAACTAGTGGCATAAACTCAAACTAAGTAAAGGTCAAGCCCTAAAGGAATATCTTATATCCAGAGAATAGTTAACTGAAGTAAATTATGTGCATTTATTTGAGTGTCTGAATCATTTAAATAGATGCAGACACATTTACTTCCAATCTGTCTGGAATGCAGCATGGAAATACATGTTCTTTTGTTAATGAAAACAGATACGAGTTTTGGTAAAACTTAGAGGATTTCACTAAGTGACAAACCTGTCTTATCCTTAAGAATGCTTCAAGGGTATGTTTTCCTCTGAAGTTACCACCAACTGTGCTACTAATCTTGGGCTTGAGTGCTTTCATTCTAATTTAGCACTCTAAATATTTTTAAAAGATCTTCACGCAAGAGCAGAAGCTTTTTGTGACAGATGAACAGGTATTCTACTTCCTTTTGGACTTGTTAAATAAATATGCAATTTTTTGCTGAAGTACGCATCACAGATTACTAGAGTAAATCCATTTTTAAAAAGTATTTAAAAAATGCCCAAAATACTAAACATTTAAAGGCAAGATTTTTCCATAATGCACAAACTGCTCCAATGCTTCCTAGTTATACTTCCAATGAAGCTTGATAACAAGAAACTCATTAAGCTCAACTAGAAAAGTAAGGCCACTTTGAAGTCCTTTGAAAAACTACATATAGTATTTATTACTTGATGCTTAACCATGCATTGGTCAAATGACTTCCGTGATCGCAATGGTTAGGGCTTAACAAAGCATGGGTATGAATAAGAAAGAAAATATACTCTCTTCTACCTGACGTGCTTTATGGGCTGTCTCAATGCCATGATTTCTTAGACAGCTTAAAGCCCTTGAATCTGGGGAGCGCCCCACGTTCCAGTCTGAAACAGCAGCACTGTCTGTCCTCCACTGTAACAACAAAACAAATACATACACATATTTAAAGAAAATTAAAATACAGTACCTGCCTGGCAATATGATTCATGGGAATGCCATGCTTCTTCATGCAATTCTGTCCTCGATAGTCAGGAGGGCTTCCTATTTCATAGGTAGATGTCGCTGCACTGTCTATCCTCCACTACAGAAAAACAAATTTATATTTTTAAGTTTCCTTTCTCACTGCTTACATTTCTAACTGGCTAAAAGACAGTAATTTCTTAGGCAGGAAGAGAAATAAATAGCTTACCTTATGTTCAACTTTTTCATCAGTTACAAGTTTTCTAAAAACTGCTTCAGCTATTGGAGAGCGACAGATGTTTCCTATGGAAACAAGAGATTAAAGTGAATTTTCAGACTATTGAAACAAAAATATCAATAGTTGTGTGGATTTTTCAGCACAAATCAGATTAAAGATTTTTATTTACTTAAATAGAATGCATATTGCTTATGTGAAAACCCAGAGTCCTGCACCTGGGTTGGAGCAATCTCCAGTATCAATACAGTGGCATGAAGGGATTGAGTACCTGGGGACACCAGTGGATGAAAAACTGGATATGAGCCAGCGGTGTGCACCTGCAGCCCAGAAATGCAATCCTTGCCTGCACCTAAAGCAGCGTGGGCAGCAGATCAAAGGATGTGAGTCTGCCCCTCTACTCAGCTCTCACGAGACTCCACCGGAACTAGTGCATTCAGCTCTAGGGCCCCCAGCACAAGAAAGACATGAACCTGCTGGGGTGGGTCCAAAGGAGGGCCATGAAGATCATCAGAGCGCTGGAACACCTCTCAGTGAGAAATGACGTTGTGCAGCCTGGAGAAGAGAAGGACTGGGGCGATCTTAGTGCAGCCTTTTTATATATAAATGGTGACAGGACAAGGGACAACTGTTTTAAACAGAAATGGAGAAGATTTTATTGGACATGAGCAAGAAATTTTTTTTTTTTACAATAAGGGTAGTGAGACCCTGGAACAGGTTGCCCAGAGAAGTTGTGGATGCTCCATCACTGGAGTGTTCAAGGCCAGGCTGGATGGAGCTTTGAGCAACCTGGTCTAGTGGAAGGTGTCCCTGCCCATGGCAGGGGGGTCAGAACTAGATCATCTCGCTGATGATCCCTTCCCACCCAAATCATTCTATGATTCTGTACTATCCATCAGTATATTGAAATGCATATTATTATATGAAACATAATATATGAAAATAAATCATTAAATAGGAGGAATATTGTGTAAGCACATCACTCTCTTCTCCTCCACAAAGAGTATGTGATCACAGAAGACCAGACAAAATTACAAAATTTAAATGGTAGAGTATAATTTTTATCTTCAAATCTTCCTACACACTGCCAAATTTTAACTAATACCATGTAGTGGGTTTCTGTGGTTGGGTTTTGGTGGCGGAGGGGGGGCTACAGGGGTGACTTCTGTTAGAAGTTGCTAGAAGCTTCCTCTGTCCCGTGGAGCCGTTGCCAGCCGACTCCAGGAGGGACTTCTGCTGCTGGCCAAGGCCAAGCCAATCAGGAGCAATAGTAACGCCTCTGTGATAACATATTTAAGAACAGAAGGTTGTGGCGCAGAAAGAATTCCAGCCAGGGAAAAGCAGAGTGAAAACATGGGAACAAGGTAGACACCAAGGTCAGTGCAGAAGGAGGGGGAGGAGATGCTCCAGGCGCCAGAGCTGAGGCCCCTGCAGCCCATGGAGGACCATGGGGGTGCAGAGACCCACCTGCAGCCCATGGAGAAGCCCTTGCTGGAGCAGGTGGATATCTGAAGGTGGCTGTGACCCCGTGAGAGGCCCAAGATGGAGCAGGGTCCTGCCGGAGACCTGCAGCCCGTGGAGAGGGAAGCCCACAGTGGAGCAGGCTTTTTCCCGGGTAAGACTTGTGGCCCCTGTGGGGGACCCATGCTGGTAGAGCTCATTTGTGAAGGACTGCACCCCATGGAGAAGTGACCCACGGGACAGCAGTGTGGGAAGAACTGTTGCCCGTGGCACAGACTTATGCTGGAGAAGTCCATCAAGGACTGTCTCCCATAGGAGGGACCCCATGGGAGCAAGGGAAGGACTCCTTTCTCTGAGCAGCGGCAGAAACAACAACTGACTGCAACCCCCATTCCCCATCCCCCTGCACTGCTGGGCGGGAGGAGGGAGAACACGGAAGGAAGGAGGGGTGGGGGGAAGGTGTTTTTAAGATTTTTTTTTCCTCACTCTTTGGCTCCTATCCTGTTAGTAATAAATTTAAATAATATCCCCACTACGAGTCTATTTTGCCTGTGAAGGTAATCAGTCACGGACCTCTACCAGCTCTTAACTCATGAATCCTTAGCTGGTTTTTTTTCTCTTCTCTGTCCAGTTGCAGAGGGAGAGTGGCTTTAGTGGGTACTTGGCATCCGGCCAGGGTCAACCCACTACATACCACTTCCAATAATGCATGAAGAATCATGAATATTTGCCTAAAGTATTTACATTACTATCTACCTGTGAACAAAAACTTTTGGACAAATCCAAACCACAGCTACCACCATTTTGAAAACAACATAGTGAAATGACTGAACAACCTGTAGTATAAAATGCTCTTGATCACTGAAGTGAAGTCACTGCAGGTCAAACAGAACCCTCACCAAGAGCAGCTTCTAGATACCAATTCCAAATCCCCCTCAAAAAGAATTCAATGACACAAGCACTAAAAACAACTCAGAAAAAAAATTCCAAACTTTTTTAGTCCAAAATATGGAGGATTAGGAACAAAACATAACACATGGTAAAGCTGAATTGCTGTCAATCAGCTAACAAACAAACAGTTAAGGTACTTAATTATATACATACATAATCAGTGTTCCCTTCCAATGGCCTCCAATTGCACTAGCCACTTGATCTGACCTTATTTTCAGAAAGAACCTGGTTCAACAATGCAGTATTGCCCCATTAAAAAACTAGAAATGATGGAGCTTTAGTATTTTTGCTCCATTGCTGAAGCTGTAACTAAGTTAACCACCTATGGTAGACCTCTTAAAAATGAATGCAGAAATTCATATTCTTGGAAAAAGAATTAAGTGTCTCAATAAAAATAAAAAGCCTATTCAGCGATTACTTTAAGTCTTTCTACATTTTCATCCTTCAGAAATTTTGAGTAACTAGATAGATATTCACAATATTTGAGAGATCACCAAGATCACAATAAGTGAAGATCAAATCTTCACTTTCCATCAAACAGAATGTGTAACTTTGCTCATTACTGACTTTTGAGCAGACAAGTACAAAATACCAGAAATGGCAAAACTCACTTCTGTACCTCTAAATAGATCACTCTTCTGCTACTGATTCTTTCCAAATCTCAAACAGTAAAAAAAAAAAAAATGCCCATGAAGAAAGCTAAATTTCCATCAGCAAAAAGAAATTTTCAGATCGGGCACTTAAACTCATTTTCATGCCTGTCTTTTCAAACAAAGCACCAAGGTAAACACTTCACTGCTAAAGAGAGAAAAGCTGGTATGATCTGGACGTTGAATAACTTGCTGTCACTCATGCCAACTATAAAAATCACAAAGAGGGAAGTGAAGAACTGAAGCAATACAAATTGGCTGTCAAAGATTTAGAGAACATCGAATCACTAAATGGCAAAAGGAACGGGCTAATCATTGAGAAATTGATCTTGCTGAAATACTAGGTGAATTCTGATGGCAGTAGATCTTCCAGAAGAAGACACACTATTTCTATTGTTTGAATTAGTTTATTCCATGCACAGAAATGAAATCAGTCTTGGAAGAAAAATAAAACGGTAAAATTTTGGGTTTTCTTAAGCAGTTAAGTGAGAAAACAGGTTAGTATTATTAATTATAAAAATATTTTAAAATATGGTAATAAATCAAAAAATCTAATTTCTTTACTTGAGTACGTGAGTTAAGCATTAAACAATACAATTTCAACAGGGAACGTGGTACAGCATAAGACAGACTATAACCTTCATATCAGTGAGCCCAGTCCTTCAATATTGCAAGCATATACAGCATCACTTCTCTTAAAAACACATCCAGCTCCCCTTCAAAAAGCATCATCTATCTTTAAAGGCTATTCCAGATACTAATTTCCTGAAACCTTCTAATTCCCACTTAAGCCTGTGCTCATCTGATCTTGGTTAACATCACTCTCTACCTTAAAAACCTTTCTTTCCTTCAACAGATACAGAACTCTTGCCAAGCATAGCTGTGCTAAACTAAACAAACCAAGCTCTCAATCTCCTCATGAAATTAACTGACCCTTATCTAATCACTCCAGTTAAGTCAACTCTGCACTTGTTCTAATTTGAATTTATTTTTCTTGAATGCTGACAAATAAAATCACAGACTACACTGCAGGAAAAGTTTGTTCCAATTTGTCTTATAAAAGAAAAAAAAGTCTGACATATGTACTTAGTTCTTTTGAAAATAACCTGAGATAACTACTACAATCACATTTGACAAGTTCATGAGTATCAAATTTACAATTATAATCTCCTAATTTGTGCATTTCCTCTCTTTCTGTGCTGCTTCAAACAGGTGTTCTTTAAGTCTTCTTTCTAAACTATGAAATTCTGTTTCCATTACACCAGCCGTTGAGGCCATCTATTTCATCCTGTACAAAATTATTCCTCTGTATGAATGATCCCACACAACTGTGTGTGAACAGTAACTTTCATTACTACGGTCAACATTTTGGTAAATAAATGATTAATACTATTGGTCCTCATAACTCCTTAACTAGCTCCCAGAATTTCAAAATGGTGGTTTTGAAATAAAATTTCATGGCTTTTTCCATTTGTTTATCCTTCTGCTTCATATGGATTTAATTACTTGCTTCAAATTTTCACTCTTCTGTAACCTACTCACTACTTAAAATAAATGCTATAAATGTAATCTTTAATGCTATCATATAAAATACCATGATGAACAAACACCATCATCGCCAGCTGATTAAACTTATTAACTATCACTTCTAGCAATAACTAGAAATTACAGTTACATCATTTTTGAAACAAACATCTAACCTAGTTTGTGACTTAAAAATTAATGTCTTCCAGGACGACACATTCCAGATATTGCCAGAGGTATCAGCATTGTTAGGGAACTGCAATAATCATTCAGATCTATTCTTGGCAACTATAGACAGAACCACAGAACTGACTTAGCAGCTCTTCTACCTGCACACTCTGCAATATTATTTTCATCCTAACCAACTCTTTTACCCACACCTTGCAACAGTTATCGTTCATCTCAACATTGATGTAAAGTCCTATCTCATCCCACTGACATATGCAAACTTCAATCATTGTTTTCCAGTCACCTTTCCCACT